TGCAATACTTATTTTAAAAATTCGTATCTTATGCATTTTGGGTAGATATTTTCTTCATTTGGTACTTCAAGCAAATCTTTAAGAGTCATGCATGCACACAAGAATCATTGTTAGTAGACACCAAGATAAACAATATGCATTATTGATTAGATAACATAATCATTAACCTAAACTTGTTTCTAGCATTCCGATTATTAGCCTAGAGTAATATGCTCAAAGCTTAAAATAGTATCTGACATGAAATAGGTACTCAAGAAACAGTAACTGAATTAATGTCAGAATTCCCTGCCAAGTTGTTATAGCTGTCCTTCTCCAAATATAGGTTATATAATTAATCTGCCAGTCACTCAGAACCCTTTCTTCTTCCTAAAAAACCAAAAAACTAGACTGTTTCCTCTTCTGAAAATTTAGAAAAAAAAATTTTTAAAGCAGGATACACTTTACACTTGAAAAACATCTATAAGATAAATAACAAGACTTATTCTTCCCAGAAGGCTATTTACAGAAGGCCAAACAAATGGATTAGAAAGGTCCAAGGCTAGTCCCTTCTAATCACACTATATTCTAAATTATGTTGGTTTATCATATACCCAAGACTGGACTGTTTCCCTAAGAATACAGACACTGTAAATGCAGGAACTAAAACTATAAAACTCTTAGAAGAAACATAGGCATTAATCTTTATGACCTTAAATTAGGCAATGATTTCTTAGATATGACACCAAAAGTACAGGTGACAAGAAAAAAATAAATTGGACTTCATCAAAATTAAAAACTTCTGCACTTCAAAGGATACCATCAAGAAACTGAAAAGAAAATCCAAAGCATGGGAGAAAATATTTGTAAATCATATATATGATAAAGGCCTAGTATTTGGCATATATATATATATAGTTACTACTCAACAATAAAAAGAAAACCCAATTAAAAAATGGGCAAAGAACTTGAATGGATATTTCTTGAAAGAGATATACAAATGGTCAACAAGCATATTAAAAGATACTTAACATCATGCCTCATTGGGAAATGCAAATCAAAACTACAAGATACCACTTCACACCTACCCTCTAGGATGGCTATAATGAAAAATACAGGTAAGTGTTAGTGAGAAGGTAGAGAAATTGGAACCTTCAGACACTGCTGATGGAAATGAAAAATGGTGCAGCTGCTTTGGAAAACAGTTTAGCAGTTTAAAAGATTAGCATTACCATATGACCCAGTAATTCCACTTCTAGGTATATACCTAAGAGAAATGGAAACATATGTCTACACAAAAACTTGTTTGCAAATGTTCACAAGAGCATTATTCACAATAGCCAAAAAGTGGAACTCAAATGTCCACCAACTACTGAATGAATAAACAATGGATTATTATTTGGCAATCAAAAGGAATGAAGCACTGACTCCTACGACAACATGGGAGGACTTTGAAACTTTATGCTATGTGAAAGTATGAAATGTCTGGAATAGGCAAATCCATAAAGACAGAAAGGTTAGTGGTTGCCAAGGACTATGGGGAAGAAGGAATTAGGAATTACTGCTAATGGGTATGGGGTTTCTTTGGAGAAAATGAAAATGTTCTGGAATTAGACAGTGGTAATGGTTACAAAACTTTGGGAAAACACTAAAAATCAATGAATTGTATACTTTAAAAGGATGAATATTATGGTATGTAAACCAATACAATAAATACAATAAAAGAAAGGAGAAAAAATGTAAACACTAAAGAATTGAGACAGGCTCATGCCTGTAATCCCAGCACTTTGGGAGGCCAAGACAGGAAGATCACTTGAGGCCAGGAGTTTGAGACCAGGCTGGACAACATAGTGAGACCCCCATCTCTAAAAAAAAATTAAAAATTAGTCAGATGTGGTGGCTTGTACATGTAGTCCAAGCTACTGAGGATGCTGAGGTAGGAGGATCACTTGAGCCCAGGAGTTTCAGCCTGGGCAACAGAACAAGACCCTGTTTCTATTAAAAAAAAAAAAAATTGAGACATGACTTGGTGGAGATTCCAAATTATGATAAAAATGAAACCCAGTCACGGACTTTGTGGTCTCTACTTCCATTCAGTATGTCTTGTAATCATACTTCCTCATTATTAAGATACTAAAAACTATAGGATGAACAATAGATTTAGGAATAAATAATATTTAAAGTTAAAATTTAGGTTAAAATTAAACAGCATATGGAGCTATCAATACAACTAACTCAACTGAGGTGGCAAATAGATGAATAAACGTATCCTGTGTATAGCTAAGTTTGCACATATCCAGGCGGTGATAGCCACCAATAAATACATCTCTAAATGATGGATGGCAAGTTTCTTTTAACATCAATTACAAGATAAACTCAGACTACAGAAAAATTAAAATGTAAAAAAGATGGCTCTGAATATTGAGAAAATAAAATAAATTTGCAACTGGAACTTGCCTTTTTTAGGTCTTTAATCTCTATCACCCTTAAACTGTAGGCTCTGAGATCAAGGTGTGTGATCATAGTGCTACTCCCTAAATAATAAATGCAAAGGTTCTTTTCTCACTAATGAGGTTACAGAGAATAATACTGAATATATAATGAACCACTAAGGGAAAAGGATCAAGAAGAATTATGCAGAGGGTTCATAGGAAGAGCATAAATGATATGGACATCATTCCACAGAAAAAAATCTGGAAACCTCTTCATAGAAAGATGGAAAAAATTCAAGACTCACAGAACTAGAATTACTAATCTTCCTTTTAAATATACTTAAAGGAAATTGTATTGAGAAAAATAATACCAAAAGAGAGTGAAGAATATTTCCTTTGGAACTATTTCATTAAACTTTGTTCCCAAATTTTAAAAATCTGTTTGACCTTAAAAACGGTGGGGGAAAAACCTATCTAAGCCTTTTTTACTGAGCAGACTCATGGCACAGATGTAACTAGTTGAAGCAATCATGTAATAAGCAACCTTGAAGAAATGTGTTATATTTGGGTACTTTTATACACTGTTGGTGGTAGTATAAATTGCTACAATCATTTTAGAAAGCAACTGGCAATATATAATGAAACCTTTAATATATATATATATATATATATATACCCTTTGACTCAACAGTTCCATTTCTGGGATTATATTCCAAAGAAACCATATAAAATATGCACAGAGATCTTCTTCCAAGTACTACTTATCATATTGAAAAATGGAAAACAACCTCACATGTCCAACAATAGGGAAATGATTTAAAAATTGTGGTATATCCATAAGACACAGAGTATAATACAGTTACTTTAAAATATGTAATCAAGAATGCCTTTTAACTTTTTTCTTTTCATGATATTTAAGATTTTAAATACATACTCTAAAAGAAAATTCAAAAAATAAAAATGAAAACTAGAAATCCTCTCATTCTCCTATGTAGTACTCTCTTCCCACTCCCAAAGGTAACCACTCTCAAGTTTGTGTGTGTGTGTGTGTAAGCTGCTAGAAATTTTCTGGGCACAGACATATAGACTTATCTAACAAACATTTATCTCTATATGGGTAATGTTTTGTTTTTAATACAAGTAAAGCAATATTAAACATGCTGTTTTTCAATTTGCTTTGTACACTTATATTCTGGCTACTGTTCCATATCAGCATATACAGATCTACCTTATTTATTTAAATTGATGTTTCAATATATATCAGGCCTTTTTTTTTTTTTAAAGTTTCTACACGCAGCATTGGTGAATATATACCAGGCCTTAGATTCATAATATTTAGATTTTTCTGCTTACCAATAATGCGATAATTAACATACTTGCATGTACAACTTTATGTACTAGTATGAATAGGTCAGTTTCTACAAGTAGTATTTCAATATTTTAGATATTGAAAGTTGTAGTCAAATCATCCACCAAAAACACTGTACTAAACACTAGCCTCCCTATCTCTCCAAACCATCCTAAACACTGAATACTACCAACTTTTAAACCTCTGCCAATCTAAAACCATTTTAATTTGTATATCTATAATTATGAATGATGTTAAACTATTTTTCCACAGCATGGTTCATCTTTTCCTTATAGACTTATAAGAAATTAGCCCTTTGTCACATCTGTTGTGAACATTTTTTACAGTTTGTTGCTGTCTTTTAACAGTGTATATAATATTTATTTGCTGTCTAGCAAATTTCTCTATTTTTCACTTTAGGGCTCCTGGATTTTATGTATGCTTCAAAAATCCTTCCCATCTCAAATATAAAAATAGTACATATTTTTTTTCTATTTTCCTTTTATAATTTCATTTTTATTGAGAGTTTTCTCAATAACTGTAAATTAAAATGTAGATATATAATTACACAGTTGGAGCTTAACTACATAAAACAATTAAAAAATACTAGAAGGAAATAAAAATTATTGCTGAACGGTAGGATCATATATGGTTTTTTCCCCTGTGCTTTCCAAATTTTCTACATTGAATACACATTACTTTTATAATCAGAAGAAAATAAAATTTCTTAAAACCTTCATATTTAAAACTTTTTCTTATATTTTTGATAGCAGTGGCTTCAATTCCCAATCTATTATCATTTCAGTAACTGACCTAGACTGAGTTTAATATTAAGGCAGAGATTTGTATTTTCTTTTAACTCCATTATCATGGATGACATAACAGGAAAAAATTTTAGGCTGGGCGCGGTGGCTCACGCCTGTAATCCTAGCACTCTGGGAGGCCGAGGTGGGCGGATTGCTCGAGGTCAGGAGTTCGAAACCAGCCTGAGCAAGAGCGAGACCCCATCTCTACTATAAATAGAAAGAAATTAATTGGCCAACTAATATATATACAAAAAAATTAGCCGGGCGTGGTGGTGCATGCCTGTAGTCCCAGCTACTCGGGAGGCTGAGGCAGAAGGATTGCTTGACGTCAGGAGTTTGAGGTTGCTGTGAGCTAGGCTGACGCCACGGCACTCACTCTAGCCAGGGCAACAAAGCGAGACTCTGTCTGCAAAAAAATAAAAAATAAAAAAATAAAAAATTTTAGAGTCCTATAAAGGTCTGTTGAAAGCAAAAATTATGGTTCCATTTGGGAAGTTCATTTGAATAGTAATCACAATAATAGTTATACCTTTGAAGTACTAACTATGTGCCAAGTGCTTATATGTATTAACTCATTAATTCTTCACAACATCTTTATAATATAGACATTAATATTATTATACCCCCATTTTACAGATTGAGAAACTAGGCAAAGAGAGGTTAAGTAACTTGCTCAAGCCATGCAATCTCACAAGTGGCAGAACTAGGACTGAAACTGAAAGAATATGGCTCCAAAATCCCCATTCTCAATTTCTAAACTAAAATGCCATCTACAGGATGAACAGAAAAAATGGGAGGCTACTTCTGACAACCCAGCAAGTGTTAAAGTGAAGAATGAGAATAAGCCACAAAAGAATTTATGTGCAGATTTATCAGAAAAATAAAAAAAAGATAGGTCTATGGGAAATATGATATGCCTTTATTTTTTACAAATTTCTAGCTTTGAAAGGAAGTTTTTTCTTCTTTCTTTATTCAGAGAGTGTCCCTAAGCTGAGTTTCTGAGCAGAGGTTTCCCAACTTTAATACCAGTGCACTGGCACAAGACAACAGTGCTCTAAAGAGCTGAATAAGAACAAATGCTTGTCACATAAATTGTTGCTAACATTAAACTGTTTAATGAGTAAAACCAAAAAGTAGTAGCAGATTCTTATGATTTCACGACTGATCTTTTGTTCTTTGTCTCTTTGTTTGCCTAAATGTGCTAGAATCTTTCAAAGTGTATACAGTTTTCTCTGATAATGCTGGGGACTACATCAACTTCAACATCTTACTTTCCCCCCAAAATCTAGTCCCATTTTGGAGTATATATCTCTGGCAAGCTAATTTTTAGTGTTTTGTGTGAAGCAGAAAGTCAAACTAAACGTAAATGAATATGAAACTTTTTATTTCTCACAGATTAGACTTTCAGAATGAGCCGTCTGATCTTGAGCTCTACCATACATAAATGACAAAAATTCCTCTCTTCTTTTTCTGCTCTGACTTTGTCAATATTACTGCTTCAAAGGCTCCCCTAGGTACATAAGAGCCAAAAATATTTTAAATTTCCTTTGTGATTTTTTTAAAAATAAAGTATTAAAAAAATACATACTTGACCATAAGAATGTAGACACAAACATAAATGAAAGGAATATAAAGAAGTTGCTGTAAATCAAACTTGTCCTTTGTTAGTATTTGTAAGCTTTTCTGAATATAAATGGCCAAACTGGACTACTAACATCTCTGAGGAAAAAGCCTCTATGTTGGCAGCAATTTTTAAGAAATAACACAGTTCAAATACAGATGAATGGCCCTAGATTGCCAACGATAAGAGCCACAAGCCTGAAATGCAGGAGCTCTTTACAATCTATTTTTGAAGATATGACTGTTTTCTAAGGATTTACTGTATAAAATTAGCCTCAATTTTCTAATCTATAAAATATGGATTAAAATAACTGCTCATTGCTGCTATGAAAAATCATGACATTCTTATTAGAAACTACTAGGGCATTTATAAATTGATTAAAACAAATGATTACCTTATGAAAAAAGAACAGCTTAGGTTAATTTATGAACACACACTGTTTGGCCAAAAAAAAATGTTAGTAATGAGTGATTAATATTTCTTAATAATGTATGTTTATAATTTTCAAATACAGGAATATGACCCACAGAGAAATGATAGAATAACCTCAAAGAAAGAGTAAAGGCCTAGAAGGTTAGCTAAAAATTATACAAAAAGGGCAGATCTGGCCCTTTATTACATGGTCTTTCTTTTAATTTCTCACTCTTTTAATTTCTTACTCCCAGGCTTTAAAAGCCAGTTACTTGCCAGAGATGAAAACAGTGAACCTTAGATTGAGCAGCTGGTCGCTGTGGCACCTTTAGGAGCTTAGTTTTAGAGGATGGAAAAACTGGGAGCTAAAAGCCCCAAGGAAAACCACAAATGGGTATACTAAATATTTCTAGAGATGTGGAATAACAAAATAAAGCTTATACTTACAACTTGAGATTCACGAACTTTAGGAAACATTTTGGCAACATTGAGGCCATCGATGACAATATCAAAAGGAGGACAGGATTTTACAAAGTTCTTAAATCTCTTAAGTTCCTAAAAAAGAGAAGTCAGATAAAACATTAAGAATGTAGTAAGGACTTTGTCATAAACACACTGCAATGACTTTTATTATTGTTTTCATAATTCAAACTATTCATCCCTTAAACATACACACACACACACACTCTCTCTCTCTCTCTCTCTCTCTCTCAAAATGAAATCTGAAAAAGCCAGCATAATGGATATAACGGCCTACAATGATCTGATACACTTTATAATCTCATAGAGCTTTACACTTCACAAAGCACTTTCATATATAATTTCATTTGATCTGTAGCCAGCCTATTGAGACTGCTAAATTGACACACATGATAGTCATGAAGATAATGAAATTTCAAAATCTCTAAGTCCTGTTCTGTAAGCCAAGGAGAAGTTAGCCTCAGATATATCAGCCTACCAGTCTGGTTCTCAATCTCAGGATGCTTGCTCTTATAACCTAGCCATCCTGAGAAAGCCCACGTAGAGGTCACATCAACTACTAGACTGATGAAAGGGAGGGAGATTTCAAGATGGCCCTAGCCCCCATTTGATTATAACAATAGGAGACTAAGCAAGAACCCCCCAACTGAGTCTAGTTAACTCCTAGAACCATGAGAGATGACAACAATAATAATGGTAATATATGATTGTTTTTGTTTTATATCACTATATTTGGGAAAACAGAGAAGGAAAAGAAGGGAATTGTCCCAGGTAAAATTTGCCTATACATGGCTTTTTGTCAGAGGGCACCCTTCAGTCAACATGGCCAGCAGGTGCAACTGGAAATCAAGCAGAAAACTGCAAACTTACTGGTCTGAGGAATCAAAAGACAAGAATCTAGGGCTGGCAGAGTAAGAGGGGGAATGCTAGAAAGGATTCCCACAAAGTCTGCATATAAATCTGCCCAAATCCTTGGCTGACACTTGATCTGTACATGCATGAAGGAGACTCTAAACAGCCCAACAAAAAAGCAACAGCTCAAAGACTTGACAGACCTAAGCAGAGATTTCAGCTGCTACCCACTGCAAGGGAGACAGAGTTTGCAGTTTAAGTCTAACTATGTTTAATAGCCTGCTAAAGCAAAAAATCAATAATCTCCAGAGGAAGAAAACAGAATTCAGAGCCTCTGCAATATATCATTCACAATATTCAACATACAATTAAAAAATAATAAACATGAGAAGTAATAGAAAAATGCGACCTTCAGTCAAGAAAAAAATGTATCAATGGAAATCAATCCAAAGTCTGAAACCACCTATATTAAAATAACTATTTTAGACCCTTTTTGTTTCAATCTATATATCTGAATGACCAAGGGAAACAAAACAAGTACATTAAATTTCTAAAGTTCAAGTTTCACTAATATGATTATTAACATGAAAAAGGTTTCCCCGTACATCTCCAATTTATCATTTGGGTGCTGCTCCTAGAACTACATTATATTCATCTCAGGAGTAATGACAAACTAAGGTAGTTCAATATTTCTGGCAAAATGGACACCTATACAATCAAGAACAACACTAGATAACTTACAAAATCCCCTTCTAGGTCTGATTATTTGATGATGTTAACAGGAATTTTAAGTCCCTTAAAATCATAGAATGTAAAAGGGTATACCTGAGATGGTTAATTTGCAAGGTGAGTCTCAGGAACCTCTGTACAACCGAGAGAATATGTAATAAAATCCCCATCCAAAATCCTGATAACACGTCTGCTGCTAGTGACAGAAAATCCAGATGTCGGGTTGCTTTTCTTTCCCCATTACTAAAGTTCCATTTACTAAGTATGTTACTAATCAGAGATTCTCTTTAATACTTCTGGTGGACCCCCAAGATACTAATTTTTCAAACTAAACATATTTATTTCATTGCATTCAAAAGCCACTGAGTAGACCACGAGGATAATGTATGGCAAAGAAAGAGCCGAGCTACCGAGAAAGCATGCCTAGTAAGGCACAGGGTATCACTAGTATGCAAATTTACCTATTTTGATGGAGGTAAATTCAAATAAAGAACAATTATTTCTTTCTAAAGCTGGGGCTGTACTTGACTGCATATTAGCTAATGATCTGGGGTATGAAAATCCACCAATCTTTTAATCATTTGTTTCCTGGCTATCAATAAAAGTTATTTTAAAAAATATCATTATTCAGATATAATTGATATACCATAAAAATCACCCATTTGAAGGTACAACTCAATTCACAGGTTTATGCACCATCACCACAATCTAATTTTAGAACATTCTGTCACTCTTAGAAGACACTCTGTACTCACTGGCAGTCAATCCCTAACTCCCAGCTCACCACAAAGCAACCACTAATCTACTTTCTGTCTTTACAGATTTGCCTATTTGGGGCATTTCATATAAACTGAATCATACAAATAAATGGCCTTTTGTAAGTGACTTCTTTAACTTAGCATAATGCTTTTTCAAGATTCATCATGCTGTAGCATGAACCAGTACACTTCATTTCTTTTTATTGCCAAATAATATTCCATTGTATGGATATATCATATCTTATTTATCCAGTCATCAGTTGATGGATATTTGGATTGTTACCACTTTTCAGCTATTATGAATAATGTGCTCTCAACAGTTGTGTACAAGTTTTACATAGATGTATGTTTACCTTTATCTTGAAATGGATTTGTCAAGGTATATGGTAACTCTATTTTTAACTTTTTAAGGAATTGTCAGACTGTTTTCTAAACTGGTTGCACCATTTTACTTTCCCAAATGCAATGTATGAAGGTTCCAATTTCTCCACATCCTCATCAACACTTGTTATTGTCTGTTTTTTTTTTATTATAGCCATGCTCATGACTGGGAAGTGGCATCTTGTAGCTTTGATACACATTTGCCTAATGACTAATTGGAGCATCTTTTCATGTGCTCGCTGGCCTAAGGGGAGCTTTTCTTTTCTTTTTCTTTACATATAGGCTTCATAATTCAATGTGTATCTCCTCTAATAATATTTGCAACTTCTATCATCTTTTTCATTTTATACTTTTAAGTTTAAATCTGAAAAGTATATCTGTACAAGAATTGTAAATATTATGACTTTCAATAGGGGTTGTTAACCCAAATGCCTACAGACACCAGGCAGGTAAAATAAATAAGCAAAATGGGGCCAAGTTTAAGAAAATATAACAGAGCAGGCAAAATGATAAACAACAATAGCACAAGAGTCATTGTTCAAAATTTGAGAGGAAGGGGAGGTGTAGAGTATGACGAACTGGAGAATGGAGATCCTTTATAAAGAAGGCAGCCCAGTGCTCAGTCTAGTTGTTGCAACACAAAAACAAAGACCCAGTGTTAGCAGAGTTGATTTTTTGGGGAAAGTTGAAAATCTGACATTTTAAAATACATCAAATAACTTTTTTAAAAAGTAAAAATAACGAAGCTCAAACCAAAAATACATACGGGCTAGATTGTACCCTTAGGCTACAATTTTATAACACACTTACTTGGTCAGTCAATAGATTTTTGCTGAACATCTATAATGTGCCAAGCAATGTTCTAATTCCTAGGAATAGAACACTAAACAAATTCCCTGCCCTCAAGGAGTTTACATAATAGTGGAAGAGATAAGCAATAGCGGGATAACAAATAAACAGATATTTAATTTATGGTAGATGCCTTCAAGAAAAACTAAGCAGGGTAAGGTATTAGCACCATTTTCCCTAGTCCCTTTCTATTTTACATATAGTGAACAGGGAAATGCCTCTGTGATGAGAAGACATTTGAACTGAGACAGGAATGAGGTGAGGAGTAAAACTTTGCTCCCATGGAAAAGAGCCTTCTAGGCAGAAGAAACGACTGCCGAGGCCTTTACTGGATACAACAGAGCTTTCCATGTTTGAGGATTAACAACTAGGCAATTTGGAAGGTGAAAGAATAAAGTCCTTATGCAATTATGTTTTAGTTTAAATTTTAAAAAATCAACACTTGCTGGTTACTACAATATGGTAAAGAGTACAAATGTAAAAACAATTCTAAAACAGTTAATCGAAAGCTTTATTTATTTATTTATTTTCAGACAGATTCTCGCTTTGTTGCCCAGGCTAGAGTGAGTGCCATGGCGTCAGCCTAGCTCACAGCAACCTCAAACTCCTGGGCTCAAGTAATCCTGCTGCCTCAGTCTCCCGAGTAGCTGGGACTACAGGTGTGCGCCACCATACCCGGCTAATTATTTTTCTATATGTACATTAGTTGGCCAATTAATTTCTTTCTATTTTATAGTAGAGACAGGGTCTCGCTCTTGGTCAGACTGGTTTCGAACTCCTGACCTCGAGCAATCCTCCCGCCTCGGCCTCCCAGAGTGCTAGGATTACAGGCGTGAGGCACCGCGCCTGACCAATCAAAAGCTTTAAATTCCTTACCATATACAACCTCTTATTAGACATAATGAAGCAGAACTGCTATTTGTTGTTTTGTTATTACCTAATCATAAATGAATCATAAAAGAGAAATTTTAAAATCGCACTTTACACACTACACATGACACGAGCTCTAGAATAGAAGTGACTCTAGCACCTGCTGTCAAAGGCTGACTTCTTAAGTATAAAATGACTCTGACAACACATGTGGCAGTAGAACTTGACTCTTCTGTGTATTTCTCCTCTTACATTATATGAGAAAACTAATAGGTTAAGCAAGGGATTTTTCTCAATAAATTATATGCAGAGAGATGCTAAAAATTCTTTTTTATCTTTTTACTTAGAAGAGGTTAAAACTTTTCAATTTTTTTGGAATGATGGTCCATGTTCATGATAGTTTGCTTCTATTCTGAGACTGATATAAGTCTCACCAAATTAGAAAAAGATCTTTCTCATTTATTTAGCTAGTGTCCTAATCTAGAATAGCAACTAAGAGGAAATAGGAGGAATACAATAATGCAAAACTCAAGACTTAAAAGCATAAAAGGAACTCATCTTAAGATGCTAACTATATCCAATGTACTGCAAATACCAGATATTTTCTAAGGATAAGAGAGGAAATAGTCAAACAAT